TCCCCCAACATTATCTTCGACACTTTCCGAGAGTCTCATCCTTTCACGCCTTAACCTTTCAGCAGCACTATGACGTTTTAATTCGAACACTTCGGCTATTGCTTGTTTAAAGCATCCAAAATTATAATTTATTAAACCATGTTTTTCGAAATTATCAGATCGAAGGAGACAAACTAACGCAAGAAACCTTTTAAATAAATATGTATTAGTTTCGATTAATATATTAATTAAGAAGGATTAGATATAACATATACCTGTTTACTCCCCTGAGACATAATACCATTCCATTAGTTAGTTTGATTAATGATGATGCATCATTAGCAGTATCGGTGGTTGTACCATAATTTCCTGCATTTCCATTTGTTTCAACTTGGGTTTGATCATCTCCATAGATTTCATCGATATAATGAAATGAATTGGTTCGACTTTTAAAAGAGATCCAACAATAAAGTGAGTATACATTTCAAAATCATTAAATTTAATCGATCATTCTTAAAAAATAATAATATACCCATATATCTCCGAAATGTCAATAATAACGTCAATCATATCACTACAAATTTCATAGGTCTGCATATCAACGGGAGAACTATCGGTAGCAATGTAAATTTTCGAATTGACATCAAATAAAAATGCCTTTTCTATTCCAGAATTCTATAATGAAAAATGTTAATTTGTATTTGATAAATAAACATATGAGGCTTTTACGACATTTACCGAGCATAAAATATTCAATAAGTTTTCCAAAGTTGGTAGTTGAGGCACAAGTTTTTGAATCACTTTACTGAAAGCTTCAAAGATTGAATGATCGTAAATACTTGTTAAATAGAAACTCAATGGAACGTTTTCTAATCCAACGTCCACCAAATCATCTGTAGTTCGCTGCTGAATGTCTCGTTGCGTGTCAATTTTGTATTCATCTGATAAGGCATCAACTTTATGTATAAACACCTCAAATGTGAGATCGGGATTGACTTGAAAAGCACGTGTGACGGTTTGATGTAATCTACTAAGGGCTTCAATGTAATCATCCTAAAATTTTAAAGAAAATTCACTATTATCACGGATGAGATTAAGTAATTACATTTGTTGATAATTTTTGATCAAATGGACTCTTGAACTTACTTGCGCATCAATTACAAAAATTAATGCTCCATATTCTCCAAAAATAACATTTGAATCAAAAGCTGGATCAAAATAATCAATTTGTCCAGGAAAGTCCCAAACTTGAAAATCAATAAACGACCTAAATGGACATAAAAATAAATTAATATATATATATAAAATACCTCAAATTTTTCATTAAATAAAAAATAGTTTACGTTATATTTTCTTTAATAACTTTGTTAGTACTTTCAAGGAATAAAGTTTCATTAGGAGGCATCTTATGAAATACGACTTTTTGGATACTGGATTTGCCGCTTCTACAAAGATATATTTTAAATTGTTAATCAGATATCATGTTGACAGTCATTTTAAAAAAAAAGTTATATTCTTACCCACCTCCTTAGGCCCATAATCAATAATCGCGGTCTATGATCTTGAACAGGATCTTCTTCATTGCTGAAGTAAAAGTTTTATTAAAGCGGGTTAAGAAGGAAATACAAAAATGTGAAAAAAAAATGAATACGATACCCCAAATCATTCCCAACAGGGCTTGTATGGAGGCTATACTCATCTACATCAAAGTGCTATAAAAAAAAAAAAAAAAAAAAAAAAGAGGTTTTTTAAAATATATTATAATTGAAAAATTGCAAATGTTGTTAGTTGAAACGTACCGACATAGTAAAAAAATTTTTAAAAAAAAAATTAGAGAAATCCAAGAAAGAAAAGAAAGAAAATGATGGATTATGATTATCATGGAACGATTGATAAGACTAATTAATTGTCATTTGTTCACGTGATAAAAGTGATAGGTATACGTATAAAAATCAAATTTTCTATTCGTTTAATTAATACACAATTATAACGTTTAAATTTTTTATTATTTCTATGGCGAAGGGAGATAACAACCGTGATGCAGAAGAACGCAATGAAGATGGAAGATCCGGAAGAGGTGCTCGTGATACTGGTAATAACGGTAACGGTTACCCTAAAGGAGTTCGTAGAGAAGGTGGTGGAAGAGGAGAACGTATACGTGGAGAAGGGGGAGGTCGGAGACGCGATAGAAAACCAAAGGTATTAAGCGAAATCCTCACTTTAGCGTTTTCTGTTTGATTTTCGTTTCACTTTTACTTTTTTAGACACTAAACGTGCATGTTAGGAATCTCCCTCAGGGTCTCTGACGACTCCAACACCCGACCACCTGCCCAAATCCTTTTATCAAGCACCTGTTATTTTAGAACGTAAACCTCAAGCTACTAGTCCTTCTCAACCTTCCATATTGACAAAAAAAGCATCAGAAACTTCTGCCCAAACTTCTCGTTTTACACCAGTTCAAGAAGAAACATTTAGTCGAGTTACCCCAGTTATTGCTCCACGTGTAGAAATCAAATCTATTAATACGCGAGGAAAATCACTTGAGAGACCGTTTGTTAAAATGGTTAATGAGAAGGGAATGTTTAATAATGATTCCGTCTTAAAGGTTGGTTGCTAAAAGTATGTAAGCGTAATTTTCGAATGCAGTTTATTCCGCTATTATAAAATACACATTAACTTGAAATTGACATTGACATGAAATTTAGGTCTTGAGTGATCTTCCTGGTCATTTCGTCGTAGGTGTATTTGGACCACAAGGATCGGGAAAATCTACCGTTATTTCTACCTTATGTCAAGATCCGCAGAATGTCAGTTGCGCATAAATAATTCAGCACCATCACTTTAGCATTTTTTGAGCTTTTATTTAATTCATCGGTGAATTACATAATAATATCAGGCATTTTCGAGTCAATCGATAGATGCCTTGAACTTTGCAAGTCACGAAACAATTGGAATCGATATTCATGTCACACCTGAAAAAATTGTTCTCTTAGATACTCAGGTATTTTATCAATATTTTTTTTTTTAATTAAAAACTTAATTTTATTATTATATATATATATATAATTATTTTTCTGTCATTTTACGTAGCCAATTTCTAGCCTCTCGGTTTTGGAACACGCGATCAGAAACGATTATATTCCTGAGAATATGACACCTGAGGTTTGGCTTGAATTACAGGTTAGCTGTAAACCAACTTTTAGAAATTTTTTTTTTTTTATGTAAATAAATATTTATATTAATTATTATCTTTTAAAATTAGTCTCTCCAACTTGCCGTATTTCTATTTTCTGTTTGTAATGTTGTTATAGTTGTTACTGAAAGCATTGATTATTCTACATGGAATTTTTTGAAGAAAGCTGAAATGTTGAAATATAGGATTCCCGAATTTCCAACAGTACCATCATTGGCTTCGACTGACAACGGAATCGAATATTATCCTGATATCGGTAATATATGTACCTTCATTAAATAATAACCTTTTATTTTTAATTAATTATTAACTTTTTATTTATCAGTTTTAGTGTGCAATAAAACTTCGCCCTTAGAATATACAACTGTCAAATACGATCTCATGTGTGATATGTTGATTAAAATGTTTCAAGAATCTAATTTAAAGATTTTTGGTAATTGACAGTTACATTATAATACTTTGAGAATTTAGCAGTTCATCTATTTCTAATATTTTTAATAAATAGGCACGGTCTCTTTGGCCAAAACTTTGACTACGTATAAACGTTCCGATGATCATCCGATGCCAAACTTATTTCTTTTACCTTTCGAGAATCAGCCTATTAACGTTAAAGGAAAAGGAATGGCTTCTAACCATTTGAATGTACCAGATACATTTTTAATTTTGGCAGAATCAATGAGAGACCAAATATTTGAATTGCCAAAAAAAATTGGCAAAAAGGGACAAGTTTCCGAAAAAGAATGGTAAAATCATCTTGCCTCTATTGTCTTAAAAATTTATTTTTAAAGAAAATAATTTCTTTATTTTATAGGTTCAGAAGTGCCATGAAAGCTTGGGATTTAGTTCGCAAATCCGAATTCATTACAGATTATGTAAAGTTTTCGCATAAATTAAGGGACATGTGAATATGGATTTTTTCCACATATTGTGGATATTAGATTTAAAGATTTTACAATAATTCAGAATGGAATCGTTTTGAAAGAGGTATATATGTGGACAACATTCTTGATTGAAGTTAAGAACTTCAATTAAGATATTAATATCTCACATTCTTTTGTAGAGATGCCATCAACTCAAATCCTTTGGAAAGAAAATCTCCTTTCAACAGTTAAACAATATATAATTGCTTTTTGGTAGCCCGAAATCTCAAAAGATTGGATCTTTAGGTGCTACAAAGTTAACATTTTCTTTATTGTTTATATTGTTGGGAGAGTGTCTAGGTGATTATGACAGTTAAACAATTGTCAATGCCTACGCTATTACCATTTATGGTTTCATCAAAGAATTTCCAAAAATGAAAATCGCAAAGAAGGCATTTCTATCAATGCCATGTACACAACAATATCATTGTATTGTGTGCATTTCGTGTTATGCAATGATATTCTATTCTTCTCCCTTAAACTAAATAGACTTGTTTGATTTTTTTTTTTTTTTGGTTATAAATTTATATAATAAATATCCAATTCAAATTTACTTGAATTTACTTGTAACCAAGAAAATTTAAATAACGTTTATAAATGTATATGAAATAAATAATTCTTCATTTAAATCCGCAGAAAAACGTTAGCTGTTTTATTAAAGTTATTATTTGAAATCAACATACGCAATATATGCTAAAAATATTGATTTGCTCGTTACAATACGATTCTAATATGAATAACGTCAACAAAGGGTACTACGTACTATATTATACTAGGTCCTATAGAGTTATTAAATGATGAGAAGAATGAACAGGGTAAAGAGTAATGATATTGATAATCCCGACAAATTTATTACCTATAAACATGGAAATGAAGAAGAATTAGAACTCCTGGACAATTTCGTCAATCTATGAAAAGAAATTTCTTTGAAAAAAGGATGAGAAACTAAATTTTTGTTCTGTAAGATTTGGGCTTCTATGAACCATTTTCTCATTAGATGATGCTGATTTTTTTTTTTTTGGGATCGGTTCTTTTGGTTTAATTATATATCGTCTTAAGTTATACTTTGTTCTCTTGTCTCTACTTAATCCATGACAATCCTTTCTAATTTCTTCTTCCTCTTCTATTTCTCGAAGTAGTCTTGCTCTCCTCTCTAATCGTTTTTCTGCCCTTGATCGTTTTTTCTTTCGTTTTCTGGTATTATTCATTGAATTTGTACTAGATAATAACGATTCACCACCCTGTGCAAAAAAAGGAATTACAGCTTTATCAACATTATTTTGATCCTCGGACGTTCTTGTTGCTTCATTAATGCCAATTCGTTGCTTGGAACCATCATTTGTTCCCGATTCAATCATTTTAATCCATTCCCCCGGCTCAAATGAAGTCCGAAAAAGGATTGAAAATTCTGTGTTCATTAATTGTTTATGTCGAAAAAATGCATCTTCTAATAGTTCAGCTTTTTTTTTTCTCTTTGTCGATAACCAATTATTTAGAACATCTTCACCCTGCATACTGAGATTCAGGTTTCTATATTCTTGAGCTAAAGAATAAACTTGAGGAAGCCAATAATAATCCATGCCATCCTTGAAATCAAATTCATAGGAGATAATCGGTGCAACACTAAATATACATTCTGGAAATCCCCACCAATTTAATTCCGCAAAGTCTCTGTAACTTTGATATAAAAGGAAAAAAAAATTTTTTTTTAAACGTCACGTCACAATACAATACACAAATGACAGACATATCTATCATATAAAGAGATACTATGGCTCACCTAATTGCATTTATCTTAATACAGTTTGGACATGATCTTATACGAGGAAGCCAATATATTCGCAGATGCTTATAAGATTTACAGTTTTGACACCCCTTAGAATAATTAAACAACTTTGCATATTCACGCTCAAGTAAATCTTTTGGTGGAGGAAGTCCTTTTGCCAAATTGAATTTGATCCTTGAAATTCGCCATATTTCGTTCTCAAAGGTTGTAAGGACTTCATAAAAAGCCTTACAGACACAACTCAAAGCTGAAAGATCCCTATGTGTCAAATAGCCACAAATACGGCGAATTGACTGTGAAAAGTCTTTTTTTTCTTCTGGTGTCTTCGGTGAAAAAACGTTTATCACTGGCCGCCTTATTAAGTTAGAATTCATCTGACTATTGTTAAGTACGGAGTGATCTTACTGCTTATTGCAAAACGGAGGAATTCGATTTATCGTAAAACAGATAAACACATACATGAAATTTTAACTGATCACCAGTGCTTAAAATAGAAATTGAATTTTACCGGTCATTAATCCGGAAAGAAAATATTTTACCGGCTATATAAAATTTATTAATTTATTAATAATTTAAAAAATAAGTTTTTATGTAAAAATTTTTTTTTATTAGAGAAAAATTAAATTCTTCCTAGTAATTTGATAACAAATAACCTTGGAATTAATACTTTAATTTTTATATTCTAAAGTTTGAATATACTATTGCTTTATATACAAACCACTCTTATTAACTTCTTTTTTATAAAATTCTGATAAAATATTCAATTTTTGTTCGTCATATTTTGTAAGTTCTTCTTTTTTATCTGGCCAATTTGCATGATTAAGTATTTTTATAGAATTAAGCAAAGGTCTATCAGGAAATCTTTCTTGAATTTTAGAAATAACAGCTGATGCAAAAGATTAAATATCTACAATTAATTCTGCATCATAATTTTCATTTTATGTTAATTGATATTCGCCAATATTACAATTTACTTCTAATGATATATTTAATAAAATCTATTTATATTTTCTTCAAATAATAACCTTTTTTTATTATAATTATAGATGAAAGATGAAACCTTAATAACAAGAAACTATCAAAATTATATTAAAACATAAAAAGGGTATCAAGAAATAATTTTGAGAAGGTTTTAGTAAACATCTATAATTATAATCCATGAATTCTTATTGAATTTTATTAAGAGTTAATTCTATTATTGGATTTATATCAGATATTTGAATATTTTTTTGTTGAAAAACTTTAGAGTTGAAAGATATCCAAGAATATTTCATAAAAAATGTAAAAAAGTAAGTAACTTTCAATCATATATTTTTGTATATAAAAAAATAAAATTCTATTTTTAAGAATTATTAGTTGTTATTGTTATTACCTCCAATAATATATCCATTAAAATTTTAATTGAAAGACATAAATTTTTAATTATTTTATACTAAGAAAACCATCAAACTTTATAGATTTGTTTAATTTTCAAAATTAAATTTTTTAATTTTTTTTGATATTTATATAAAATATTCATTCTTTTGTTAGAATTAGAAAAAAAAAATATTTTGATTTTATAATATACTTAACATATTTGTAAAAATCTACTTTTTTCTTTGATGAATTGCAAGCTAAAGCTAATCTATATATAATATAATGTATTATAATAAACATTCATTTCTTTTTAATTTTTAATGTTACTCTTATTGATTTACTTCATCTGAAGCAAATAACATAAATTTATTTGTTAAACCTTTAAAAAAAAATTTAAATTAGTTATTAAAAATAATAAATAAATAATAAATTATATTTAAAGACTTACTTTTTTTATCAAACAAATTAATAAAATTACAGAATTTAAGTCACTTTGGAAAAGGTAACTTTTGATCACATAAATGAATGCCTGAATGGTAAAGATATTTGAGCAGTATTAATTATAACTTTATATAATATTTCTGTAGATTAAAGACTGTGTTATCATGTATCTGCTCTTATGTTATACTATCATTAAAAAGAAAATAAATTATGTTAATAACTAATATAATTTTAGTAGTATAGTAAACATTGATGAATGGTTTATTATAAAAGATTTAGCAAGATATTGACAAAATGCTTAGACTGAAAATAATATAAAACTAATGTTAAACGATCTAGATTTATCAAAAATAGAATTAGATAATCAGAACTACTGTAGCTAACATATTTTGATCTGATTAGATTTGTTATCATAGACTCTATGCATTACCTTTTCTTAGACATTATCAGATAGATCGTAAAAAGAATCTGAATTGACAAAAATATATTAACTCAAAATACTTTTTAGTTAATACAAAAGAAAATGAATAATTTTTAATTACCAACTGATTTAGGATAGATCTCTAATAATATTCATAAAGATAAAAAGTGTTTCAATTTTACAGCAGACCAGTGACAAACTTTTTTTTAATATATATCACAGTATTGTTATAAGATCATCTTCTACCAAAAGACTGAAAACTTCTCATATATTTTGTTAAAATATGTAGAATTTTGGTTAAACGAATTATAAAGGTTGATAAAATTAATGAAGCTTGTAACAGATTAATAAAAATTATAAAACTAATTGAAAGGTATTATGATAAAGAAAAGATAATGCTAAATCTTCACCTTTCACTATATTTATATAAGTACAGTTAACTCTTGTTATAATAAACTTCATGTTCTAAACTTCAACTTCACTATAAAGCTATAGTAAAGATTTTAAAAAATTTGATTAGCTAATTCACTATAACAAGAGTATTTTTATTATATTTGTTCAAAAAATTCATTATATCAAGAGTTTGCTATATTAAAAGTTGACTGTATGCTTATGATTATGACCCTTTACTCATTTTAGTACTTTTTATTTAAATAAATAAATAGTATATTAGGTAAGAAAAATTAACTATTAGTTTTTAATTTTTAATTTTCTTTAATTAATAGTTTCATTTATTTTATTAGAGTCATTATAATAGTTAACGTTAAATAAAAACTAAACTAATATGTAGATTAATAGTTAAAGTAAAATAAATAATATTGTCAATTCAGATTTAAAAGTAAAAGACTTGAATTACTTAATATTTGATCTTCTATTAGATCATTTTCTAATACTAATAAATTTTCAACAGAAAGGATGTACTGATTCCTAATGCATTTGAAGAATATGTTAAAATCACTGATTACTAATTGTAAAAATTTTTC